TAGTTTTAAACTTTAAAGTTAAGTAAGTAAATTAGGTTAGTTAAGTTAGTTAAGTATATAGTAGTTAGTGTGTGTGTGTGTGTGTGTGTGTGTGTGTGTGTGTGTGTGTGTGTGTGTGTGTGTGTGTGTAACAAAGCTACATAAAACTCCGCAGTCTATTCATTTATAAACCACAATCTAGAAATAAGTTTGTGCTTATTACTATATTCGATATCTTACTCATCATAAAAAAACTGCCACCAGAAAATGTTAAGGAGATCACTACTGTTTCATAAATTTGTGGAGTAAGGGTTAGAACTGGAATACTGTAAGATTTACTGATATAAGTTTTCATACTAGTACTTAATATTTCAAACACTTTAATCTGGTTCAGCTCATAAATTGTCTCTCCTTTTTTTTGACAAATACTGGAAAGCTTTTAAACAAAAGTTACATTAAAGTTATAAAGTCTGTGAGAGGCAAACCTTATTCATAAGAAAGATGTTGTGGAACCCTGAGAAATTATGGTGGCAGTTCTACATGAACATTTAATTACAAGACCAAAATAAGGGTGAGGGTAAATATTCTACAGCCTTCGGACTCACGGTAAGTAAATATTCTACAGCTCTATCAGGATTGTTGTAACTTGCTCGAAGTGCCCTCTCCACTTGCTGTCTTTCGTAACCCATTTCCATTATTTGTTGAACCATTCTCTGATAGTCTTCTCCCAAGACAAGACTTGACTCTGCTGAAGTAAGGTTAACACTCGCATCAGAGGAAGGCAAAGCTGTGTTAGTAGAGCTGAAAAAGGAAAACATCAGTTATTTAGAATTGAACAATTTTTTTGAGTCCATTTATTAAACTGCTATTGAACTGTTTTAACAAAATATACAACTCAGTCATATCTGTTTCAATTGACTAACAAATCAAATACCTTGTTTCTGAAATAGGAGATTGTTCTTTCTCAGAAGGTATATCTTGTGGATCACTAGGTGGTTTACTACCTACTACTGCTGAACCAGAGATTGATGATAAATCAGAAGACGCTTCACTTTCTATAGGTGATGTTGCTGCACTATTATGAGATGACTGACTTTCTGTTGTTCCAGATTTAGGCTAGAATAATAACTTTGAAGAATGAGGGTTTCATTTGCATTTCTCCACTGACATGGAAATTTTCAATAACCATATAAATAAATCAATTCCATTAAAGAAACAACTACAACTGTAAGAAGGCAATAATAATAAACATTATTATACAATAAAGAAAATTATAAGAAAGTCACAAACTTAAAAGATTAATAAGATCTAAAAGTGATAAAAGGTACCAATGTTTTTTTTATACAGAAAGGAATTAACTGAATGCACACATGGTCAGTCCATTGGACCAATCCAAACTAGATAAGGAATGCTGACTATAATTTCAAATTTATGAAGTGTATCCTCATGAAATCGGCAAGCTTTTAGACAAGTCGGAGTGCAAGGTGAGGTTCATATGAAGATTAAAAATATTTTTGTCCATTGCACCATTTGCATTTACATAAACTTATACCCTCCTAAAAGCATATCTAACATTTTTTCAGTATCCCTGTGTACTTTGGTATTTTATTCTACTCTAACATGAACTTTTGAGATGTCAGCAATATAAAGCAACACGAAAAGTTGATAATTCTGACATTAAATACACATCATGTTGAATGGCATTCCTAAAAAGGTTGGGACATCCATTTTTTGACTCTCAATCGGAATATTAGGGATAACTTGCTTCTCCATTTACTTAAGAAAATGCAGATTACATAATATATACATATACTGTTTAAGGCACGTTTTAACTAAAATAAATCCCCTCAGGTTAGCTGAAACTCAATTTTTTTTTGCAGCTTTCTTTCGAGAGTTTCTTTTACAGTTGGGATGCACAAATAACCAACTTCATAACATACATCCTTCCTCCTATGAGGCTAAAGCCTGTCAGATGTTTCAACCTACAAAACTTTGCCACACACTCCTATCCAGACAAAATTCTTGTTTCTCTACCACCTCCTCCAATGTTGTTCCTCTATTTCTAACTGCTTGTTCAACCTTAGCAGTAAAATTTTTTATAGAGCACAAAAAAAAACTTTCGCTTATTTTAAAAATATACCTAATATTTGAAGTGACATTTGGAAATATTTGTATATTGTAATATTTCAGGGGTATCATACACTTCAGATACTGCAATCTTTCACCATATCTGAAGTGTATATTACCCCCAATCTTTCATAGGATAATATAGATACACTTCAGATATGGCAATCTTTCAGGGGTAACATACACTTCAGATATGACAATCTTTCAGGGGTAACATACACTTCAGATACTGCAATCTTTCAGGGGTAATATACACTTCAGATACTGCAATCTTTCAGAGGGTAAAATAGATACGCTTCAGATACTGCAATCTTTCAGAGGGTAAAATAGATACGCTTCAGATACTTGCAATCTTTCAGAGGGTAAAATAGATACGCTTCAGATATTGCAATCTTTCAGAGGATAATATCGATATGCTTCAGATATTGCAATCTTTCAGAGGATAATATCGATATGCTTCAGATACTGCAATCTTACAGAGGGTAAAATAGATATGCTTCAGATACTGCAATCTTTCAGAGGGTAAAATAGATATGCTTCAGATACTGCAATCTTTCAGAGGGTAATATTGATATGCTTCAGATGCCATGTTTCATAAGGTAGTGTACACTTCAGATACTATAATGTTTCATGGGGTAATATACCCTTCAGATATTATTCAGGAGTTAATTATGCTTCAAATACCGTAATGTTTCATGGGGGTAATATACCCTTCAGATACTGTAATGTTTCATGGGGGTAATATACCCTTCAGATACTGTAATGTTTCATGGGGGTAATACACCCTTCAGATACTGTAATGTTTCATGGGGGTAATACACCCTTCAGATACTGTAATGTTTCATGGGGGTAATATACCCTTCAGATACTGTAATGTTTCATGGGGGGTAATATACCCTTCAGATACTGTAATGTTTCATGGGGTAATATACCCTTCAGATACTGTAATGTTTCATGGGGTAATATACACTTCAGATACTGTAATATTTCATAGGGTAATATTCACTTCAGATACTGTAATATTTCATAGGGTAATATTCACTTCAGATACTATTCAGGGTTTTCCAGCAAATCTACTCAAAGGGCTATCCATTCATAGCCATCCCTAGTTTCAGATTGCTAAAGAGGGCAACTAGTATACCTGACTAAATAGTAAGATTTGACCATCACTCTCTTAGTGCACCCATGGTAATAACGTGCTGAGCAATTTTTATGGTAATGGGATACAAACTAAAAACCTTCAGATTCATGGTCCCAGCATGTTAACTAGTAGACCATTCTCACTATACATTGTTTTTTTATCACTCTAAAATTAACTTATTTTGAAGTTCAGGTACCAGCTTTTGCCTGAAATAAATAGAACAGCTGCTATAATTAAATTGTTCTAAGAAAATGTTAATTAATATAACAAGCAACAGTTTACAATTCCACATTTGCCATGCATAACGATAATATTATCTGTTATTAGAATACTTTGAATAAGTTTATAACCTTTCTGATATAAGAACCAAAATTATTCTCAGTCAAACTTTAAAATATTAACACACTAGAGAACAAGAATATGAAAAATTATTTAGTTTAAAACCTAAGATGAAATCCATATTTGTAGTCATGATGCCAGCTTTAAATGTTAGGACACTAGAGGGGTTTCAAAGAGAAGAAGAATAGTTTATTTGGTTAAAAGTCAATATTATATACTCTAACATCTATTATAATCTTTAATATAAAATAATTTGTTATTAAGAATGGGCTAAATGAAATGTGTATGCTGCAGGGAACCAAATCCTGGATTTTAGCATTATAAGCCCTTAAGTCAGTGGGGAATATTTACTTCAACCAACTTTGAAAGATCTCTTTAGAAGCCACAGACATTCAATATTGACATTAAAGTGATTTACATAGGCACAGCAATTCACAAGAAATGTAAGAAGTAATTTATGGTTTATCTTATGGATAAAGCTTCAAATATATTGTTTAATTTCTTAACAATAAAAAAAGTACTTTTAGCTTTGTTAAAATAAATGAAAATCAACACAGGCAAAACATGATTTGCATTTTGGTATTTATAAAATTATCATGAACCTAATACCACAAAGATGTAAAAAATAGCCCACTTGTATCAAATGAATACTTAAGATGCATAGGAAACAAACATTCTTTGTAAATATAAACTTACCTTCGTGACCATTATGACAACAAACTTGCTTTCATCTATGTTGTACTCACTAATTTTGTTTTCATCATTGAGAATTTTCCCTGAAAATTGAGCATTATAAAAAATTAACTAAGTTTATCATGAAATACCTAAAACAGTTTTTACTAGCTTGAAAAAAAAATCATAGTTGAAAATAATGTTTAATAATAAGTTATACAATTTTAATGGATAAGACAGTATTTATTTCAATGTTTTTTTTTTAGGTGTAAAGAACATTCTTATAAACATATATGAATAGCTTGTTTACATTTTCCAGACTTTTATTGAATCATACATCAATGCTGCAGGATCACCAAAATCTTTGGTCATACACCTTTAATCTACCAGACTCTCTGTCTCCTAATTATGCAGATCTTTGCCATTTCATGCTGGGGCTTTGTAAGTTGGGCTTTTGGTGTTTAAAATAGTATGTCTGAGAATAATAACACAGTCATCATATAAGAGTTATATTTATTCTGCTCATTTGAATTTTTTTTTAATATACTGAAGGCTTAAAAGATGAATTTTCACCCAACCTATACAAAAAGGAATAAAAATAGAGATAAAACTTGGATTGTTTTTTTTTTTGTTTTTTTTT